TAAAAAAAAGCCCTGGCTCACTGGGTGCTGCGAGGCGGGGGCCATCCTTGCTTCCCCCCACTAGCCCATGCTGCATGGGGGGGCTCTGCCAAGGGGTTCCCCACCCAGGCCAGCTCCAGCCCTTTAAGAAAAAAACAAGGAAAGCCCCAGGACTCACTGCTTCTGGTGCAGCCTCGGGGCTTCGGGGGCTTGTGGAAGAGCCCCCCATGTGGCATGTGGCACCCATGGAGGGCTGAGGGAGTGGGGGGGGGTCATGGGGCTTGTGCAGAGCCCCCCATACTGTGTGGGGCAGTTGGGGGCAGCAGCAATTGCCCCCCAACCTGGCAGCACCCACTGAGTTGGGGCTTTTTCTTTTTCCAAAGATCCGAGAGCTGGGGCAGGTGGGAGAGCCATTGTATCGCTGGGGGCGATGGGCCTGGCTGATTCGGAGATTCCGACATTCAGCAGCAGCCAAATCTCTGAATTAGATTTGGCCAGATCAAATCAGGACAGTGATTCGAATCACCAAATCGAATCCCTGTCCCCCGAATCGGCCAAATCTGAATCCAAAGCTAATACTAGCCGGTTCACACAAGCCTAACTTCTAGCCTTAATTCAGACCTTACAGATTGAATTGGTTTGAAGACCCCAGGTGCAGGGTATAAGGCCCTGTTTCACCATAAATCAAATACTAGTGGGATCCTACTCCCCAGGTGTCTCTCATTGACCGAGGAACAATAACTCAACAGGAGGATTTCTTATTCCCAGCCTCCACTGCTTCCAGTTCCTTAACAAAGAGGATTTGATCACTCTTGTTTCTTTAAGTTTGATGGCTCATTTAGGCTGTTACCATCTAGTTTTAGCTCTGCTTTTCTTTTCTTCAGCATGCTGTGTGAATCCCTTCTTTGCTTTAGCCACCTCAGTTTCCCTCTAGGCTCCACTCCTCTCAGTGGGTCCATCCTCTCCCTCATCCCAGTCTGTCCCTGCTAACTATCCCATGAGGTATCCCCCACTCCATCCTGGCTCTGGGGGCAGTGGGGATGACCCACACTTCCCCGCTGTCTGCAGGTACTTTTCTCTCTGGAAGAGCAGAGGTGTTCTTTGCTTGTGGCTTGCCTGGGTCTCAATGACTGATGAGGGATCAGCTGACTGAGCTTTCAACTCTGCTGGTCTTCACACCTCCTGGTCCAACTGAGCGGCCCCTGCTCTGGGAGATGTCAAACACTGCGTCTCTCTTTGAGGTCTTCCTTTAAACTGCCCAGTCTTCTTTCTGAGCCAATCAGTGCAGACTTCCTGGGGCACGTGCTCTCATGCCTCTGTGTCCTGCCTGTTTCCTGGGTTTTCCCCGGACCTTTTCCTCTAGTGTGCTGGGGACATGTTGCTCACTCAGACCCATCTAAGTAAGTTTTCTGTTAGTGCAGCCAGCTGTCCAGGGGTATAGCAAGGGCTTGGTCCCAGCCTCAGCTACAGGGACTCTGAAGACAAAGAGGTCCCTGAGAAGCAGGACCTGTTTCCCAGCCAGGCCCTGGGCATTTATCCTAGCAGGGACAGGAGGAATCAGGGCCAGTGACACTCAGCCCATCACCACCCAGCCACACTCCATACAAGCCCGCCAGCCTGCATCCACCAGCCCTGAAGATGTGCACAATGGCAGTAAGCGTGCATGCCTCACATAGGAAGTGTTCTAGCACATGGGTGTGATCCACTGGTATCTAATTATGCTTCTGCTCTGGGTGGCCACTGTTACAGACAGATGTGAGCAAATGCTAGGCCTGCCAGCCCCATCCCTTGCCCTGACGAGGCAGCAGAACCAAGGTTTGCATGAAAAACTACTGCCTGATCATTCCTCTTGGACACATGTGCCTGCCTTCTGCCTTGCCAGACTCTGAAGGGAGAGGAACACCATGGAGCACCACCAGGATCAGAATGTGGAGTGTGGAGAAGGACGTGATTCGGGGACTGGAAGAGGAGAATGTGATGGCCAGTGCCAAGGTGGGACTTGGCAATCAAGGGCCTGGTCTGAGGCAGTATCCCATGGGTGCAGCAAGCCCAAAGATTTTTTCCTGAAAACTCTGACCAGCAGTCCAGCATGGTGGAGTCAATTAACCTCATTGTAAGAGAGTCCCTAGCACTCATGGGCTCAGTGAGAAGAGTCGGACCCAGCACTCCCTCCACAGTGTGTTCCGTGGATAAATGTGTAAGTGGATGCCTGTATATACTGGCCTCACTCGGGGTTTCAAGAGCATGATGGTATACTGTGCATCACTGGTGGCAGGCAGGTGCTCACAGCCTGGCAAAGTGTCTCCCCCCATGGAAGCTCAGTGGCCAAGCATTAACACTGCCAGCAAAGACTTCACCCCAAGAATCCTGTCCTCTTCCATTTCTGCAGGAACATTGTGAGCAGGGAAGAGCATCAACAGCAAGGTGCATCTGGTGGGATCCCTTTAGCATTTCTCACTGCCTGGCCACCAGATGGGCAGCCTCAAGTTCCACAACAGCATACTGCTGTGCTGCCTGCCTGCCTCCCTGCCCCGCCACCCCCCTGCCCCAGCCCCACACAAAGGTGGGGTACTGCAGTAAGCACTCCAAACACCCAGAACCCAGCACCCAACCTGAGCTGATAGCATCCACCTCTTCAGGGAGCCAGAACAACTTTGGGACAGGACCAGCTACCACCAGAATCTCCAAAACTGGGAAGAGGCTTTGGCAAAGATATCCCAGGAGTCATGAAGGGGGCCAGGTACTCTCTGAATGTGGTGATGGAAAGGTGACCCCATGTTACATTTCTCACCCTCCAAGGTCAGTACATGCTACCTCAAAAACCTCAAGGTCAAGTGTTTTATCAGTTGTCATGTACCTTGTGAATATGAGGACAGGCAGGGAAGGAGCAAGGAGGAGTTGTTGTGGGACTCCTCCAAGCAGCACACCTGGCTACAGCAGGCCTGGAGGGAGCTAGGATAGTACCACCACTAGGAACATGGGCTTCTTTCTGGAAGCTCTGACCAGCCAGTCATGCATGGTGGAGTCAACGAATCAGCCCCATCACTCAGGTTTTGCCCACACTGCAGCTACCCCACTTAACCTCTTATTGTGTTCCTCCCCACCCATGCTGCTGAACACCTCATTCGGGGGCTCCCGGTGTCCACACTGCAGCATCACCAGTCACAGCTACTCCGCCATGGACATCGAGCACAGCACCTCCTGGGAACCACACTGCTTTGACCTCTCCAACCCCCACATACACCTGAATCCCTTTCACTCCTTCCCTCTAAGGACCTGACCCTATAATGGACTGGAAGACATTCGTTGGCAGCTCCAACAGCAAGAAGAGAAGGGCTGAAGGGCCCCCAGGACCACTTCTTTAGCCTGATATGCGTAGATAGTTGTGAAAGTATGTACCGTTCCTCTCCATTTCCTTTGGACCTTAGGTATTTGGTGCAGTCTCTTACAACCATGCTGTTAAGCTCTACTATGTGGCAGTTTTCCTGCTGTTTCCTCTTGAAGGCTGCCTGTGATTGTATTGATCCACTTTCTCCTGTGACCAAAATAAAGGGTCTCTTAACAAACAAAACACAACCAAAAAACCTGTTAATGTTTATTTTATGCAGCTCATGGCACTTACTGGATGAGTATTCCATCCTGATCTGTCATAAAATGGAAGGGAAGAGACCAAAGATATCTGTAGTACCACATTCATAACAGAAGAATCCAAGTTTGAGCTGCTAGTAACTCTGGAAAGAGGCAGACACATGAAGACATCCATTAAGTAAGGTCAGACTTGCTAGTAGTCAGGGCTGGGATGTAAGCAGTCAGTCTTGGGGGCCACTCCAAGATCCAGATTACTAGAATGGGAGGCGGGAATAGGCGGGAACCAGGTGAGAGAGAGCAAGCAGAGTCCAGGGACAAGCTGGGTCAGGAAACCAGGAGGTCAAGAGGTTTGCAAAGTTTATAAGCAAGTTGAGTCCTGAAACCAGTAGATCAGAAAGCAGGGGATGCTACCAGAGGTGCAGTCTTAGGTCAAGGAGAGTCCTGTTGCTGGGGCACTTCTCATGCCCTTCTCTGGTCTTGTATGTAGGTGGTCTAGTGTCAGGTGTCAAGAGCTAGTTGCTCGAATACAGGGAGTGGGTGGGGATGTGGACACCAATGGAGGCTTTAGGCAGTGTCTGGGAGCAGCAGCAGGGTAGTGGGTTGGGGTAGATGCCTTTGTTGGTCAGACCAAGGCCTGGATTCAAGGCTGCAGGCCTGACACTAGAAAGACAGAGAAAAAAGCACAATGGTAGGATGT